AAAAAAAAAAAAAAAAGGGAATATAGACACTAGTTATAGCTACTGCACCGAAAAAGAATAGGTAGGACTGTGACCAAAATTTTGAATTTGAAATTTCAATTATTTGGTATAAGAATATTTCAACTGAAATAGTCTACTCAATTACCAAGAACTATGTTAAGTGAGTGAGGATAGCCGAGCTGAGCAACTCATTTCCCATACGAACTGCCAGTCGCTTGCACGAGTTGGCTCATCAAATTTCGAGAAATATGCAATTTCGGTAAAAGAAATTGTCAAGCGATTCCCGAGCTGAGTCGACTTGCTCCACCAAGGGGTGAGCCGAGCTTATTCATAATTTAGCGTATATATGTAATTTTTTTTATTCAAAACGACCTAAGCAAACAAGCAAATGTCAGAAGGGGACTCCACCCATGATCAATCTTTCCTTTTATGATGTTTTTTCCATTCTGAAGAATACGTGTTCGAATCCACTACTCTAAGTTTTGAAGAGGTTAATGCTCAAATCATCAAAAGTTGTCTCAATTTACTTAATCATGTACAGTGAAAAATAAATTATTTTTCAATTTTCACCACGAATCTACTTTGTATTTAAATAGAAACCGTGTTTAGAATAGTACATTTTGTAGATTCTACAAATGGTAATTAACACATAACGTCCACATCTTTCATTGTTATTGTGGAAAACGTTTCTATCTTTCATTTTATTTTATTTATTTTCACATTTCATTGGGCAAAAAGTCATTTTTTCACATATTTTCTCAATTAAAATTTGTGAAATAATAAATATAGTATTCTCTTTAAATAAAACAAAAAGAAAGAAAAAAATAATTGCAATCATAGTCTCAATTTTTTTAAAAAGTGCAAATGAGTTTCAAACAAATTATTAAAATGGTAATTAGTATATAATGTCTATATCTTTCATCGTGATTGCGAAAATCGTCCATATCTTTCATTTTTTGGTATTTTCACTCTTAATTACACATTTGATTGTGCAAACCATTATTTCTATCTATTTTCATCTAATTTCTCAATAAAGAACAGTAAAATAATGAATGTACCCTCCTATTTCAATTAATTTTTTTAAAATTTCTAATTCTTTAATAATTTATTTGAGACATGTTTGCACTTTTTAATTTTTTTTAATTTTTAAATAAATTTAATTGGGACTCGTTTGTACTTTTAAAAAAATTGAGATTATGATTGCAATTAATTTTTTAGTTTTTTATTTAAATAGGAGGGCATATTCGTCATTTCACAAATTTTTAATGAGAAATTAGATGACAGTTGATAGAAATGAAGGTTTGCGCGATCAAATGTGTAATTAAAGATGAAAATGCAAAAAGTAAATAAAATGTATGGACTTTTTTGTAATAATAGTAAAAGGTATGGACATTATGTGCTATTTACCGTTTCAATAATTTATTTGGGACTCATTTACGCTTTTCAAAAAAAATTGGGACTATGGCAATTATTATTATTATTATTATTTTAAATTTAAAGAGAAATGTATATTCGTCATTTCACAATTTTTAATTGAAAAAATGAATGAAAAAACATTTTGTGCAATGAATGATGGAAATAAGGGTGAATATGTCAAAAAAATGAAAGGTAATAATGTTTTCCACAATAACAGTGAAAGGTGGTGACGTTATGTGCTAATTACTCATTCTGCAAACTTCTTTACTGATCTTGGAGTACGAACAATCACGATATGCAATTCACAACTGTCCAATTGTGCAGGCTCCAATGAAAATTCACACAGGGAACATGAATGCGAGAATTCGAGTCTCTTTTCTCGTGATAGCAAGAATATGAATTACTTTTTGTTATATTTTTCTGAAACCTTAATCGCTTATTAATATAAGTTTAAGTTGGCTTAGCCCGTCTCGTAAAATTAACTTGGCCCAATATTTAATTAATCCAATCAATTAAATTTGGGGAAGAATACATAAATCCTGCTTTTACTTATACACATTTCAAAATTAAGGTTAGATGTTTTAAATTTCAAAAATCAGGTTTTTATTTAAATTTATTTATGAATTACTTAATTAATTATATATTTTATTAATAAATATATAACGGTCATAGATATATACAAATTGGTCACAATTCAAAATTTTTTAGGTCACAGTTCAAAATTTTCGTGGGTCACAATTTATTTGTCGGTCACAACTTAAAAATTTAAAAGTCACAATTTGTTCATCGGTCACAATCACAAAATTTAAAAATTACGTTACTTATTTTATGGTCACAAACATCAATTTATTGATCACAAATTAATAAATTTTAGGTCACAATTTAGTAATTTTTAGGTCACACAGCTAATCTTGGTCACAGTTTATCGAATACATTGGTCACAAATTGTTTATTGGTCACAAACCGACCAAATGATTGGTCACAAACAATCAAATCATTTGTGACCACCATTTCGTCCCTGCCTCCACCAGCAGAACCACCGCTGTCGCCGTATCTTAACCACCGTCGCCCGCAGAAACACACCTAAACAGCACTATTACCACCGCAGCACACAAACCACCACCCATCAGCCCAAACCACCACCCATCAGCCCAAACACCCAACAGCATATCCGCCACCAACAGATCTGTCGCCAACAACCACCTTCCACGCACATCACCTTCAATCATATGTAATTTGTATATCACAATCGCCAACTTTTTGTAATTAACAAATTACAAAGATTTGAATCTACGGATTCTATTATTTTATTTTTTAGAACATTAATTCAATCAAATAATAGATCTGCCATATTAAAAGTGTACATGTCCAAAGTTGATTGGACTTAGGGCATAACACTTACAACCGATTCATTTGATGATGATGATCAAAGTTTGGAAAACAAGAATGAAAATCAGATGGTTTCTGAACTTGTTCCGGTCGAATTAACAAATTCAATGGAAGAAGAGGAAAATGGCAACAACAATAAGAATGATAATCCTCATTTAGATGTAAAAGATGAAATTTATTAAGTAGAATTTGAGTTATATACAAGCATGCTTGGTATACAATACTAGACCAGGTTGGAGTGTACACTAAAAACGAGATTTTCATTGTCCAATCCAATTCTTGAAACAAGCTCTTGTTTATGATCAAGATCTTTTTTTTTGGAGATTGAAGACAAGATTCCCAATTCTATGGATGGTCTCTGTAACTAATACGAGAAAAAGGATTCCAGGACTAAAGAGTCTTCGGATGGAAGTGTGACAAGTGAGTTGGAAGGTGCGAAGGAGTTGTTGCAGTCGAACACCACAAATCAGCGCTGAGAGCTGAACGAAAGGATTTGCAGACATTATATTCTGAGCTAGAAGAAGAGCGAAATGCTTCTGCAGTGGCCACGAATCAAACGATTGCAAGAAGAGAAGGCAGCAATGCAAATGGAAGATTTGCAGTATCAAAGAATGATGGAACAACGGTCTGAACATGATCAAGAAGCTTTGCAACTTTTGAATGAGCTTATGGTGAAGAGGGAGAAGGAAGAGCAAGAACTAGGGAGAGAATTAGAAGGATTTGAGTAGAAATTGTTGGATTATGAGGATAGTGATGGATTATCTGTTGATCTGAATAGAGCCGGGAAGGAAGAAGAAGTGTTTTTTTGGAAATCAAGAATTCAGCATGGAAGAAACTTTACCAGACTTTTAGGAAGAGAGGTTGTCCATTCTAGTACAACTTAAAGTTTTAGAAAAAAACTTGTCTCATTGGACTGTAAAGAGGGACGACGTTTAAGGTTCTACACTGGTGATATATTTTGTGGTATATTTTTTGGTTAGTGTTAATTGCATATGTCACTTCAAATGGCATTGGTGATCATATGAAATGGCTGAGAGATTCTGCAAGAATTCCCTTTGTTTGGTGGGGATGTCTTTGTTTTGTGGTAATCTTGGCAAACAATAATATAAGGTTGCTTATACGTTCCTCATTTTGTCCTATGAAACCTTTTTATGGGGTATTTGTCCATCTCCACCTTTTGAAGACGAAGGGATAATGTTTATGTATATATAGCATGGAGAAAAGCAGCCACCCTATTATTTGTCCATCGAGAAGTGCTGGGGTACATTGGGGTTCACATAAGGATTGACATAATACTCATATGGGGTGTGACCCACTTTTGTGGGTCCCACAACATGGGTCCCACCCTATGTGAGTATTATGTCAACCCTTACGGATAAAAATTATGTACAAGTAGAATTTTTGTTATTTGTAACACTAGTTTACTAGATTGATTGTACTATATGTACATAACAACTTCTATAATGATTTACCAATAGATGATGTAGTGAGATTTAATTGTATCAAAATTTTATCAATCAAATAACTTCACAATTTGCATTTTAACACCTTATCATGTAAATAGTGATGTACAAGAAGCATTTTCCTTACTCGATATATGATAAAGATAGAGTGATTGAAACTTTTCTCTTGTAATCACTTTGTGTTTAGATAATTTTAATTCACAAAATTCATAAGTTTCTTGATCAACTAAAGTTAAGATTACAACTACTTTGGTACTTGATAAATTTAAACAATCCTTGTAGAATGATTATTGACTCTGCTACTATTATTTATCACGATCGTGCATTTGCACTTATCACCAACACTAATATTTTTCAATTGGTCGTAAATTGATCCCAACCTGAAAACCCTCGTAGTTGGGTTTTTGTTGTGGTACATAAGGAGACAAATATGTCTAATCGAGTATTTGTAAGATTTATTATAGGATAATTAACACATAACGTTCCCACCTTTCATTGTTATTGTGGAAAATATCCATACCTTTTATTTTTTTGGCATTTTCACCTCTATTTCCACATTTTATTACTCAAAACATCATTTTTCATACATTTTTACAATTAAAAATTGTGAAATGACGAAAATATTATTTCCTTTAAATAAAACAAAAGAAAAAACTAATTGCAAACATAGTCCCAACTTTTTTAAAAAGCGCAAATGAGTCCCACATAAATTATTAAAAGGGTAATTGACACAAAATATCCATACCTTTCAGTATTATTACGAAAAACGTCCATATCTTTTATTTTTTTGGACATTTTTCCTCTTAATTATATTTTGATAGCGCAAACCATCATTTTTATCCATTTTATCAATAAAGAATTGTGAAATAATGAATATACCATCATATTTAAATATTTTTTTTTAATTTCTAATTTTTTAATAATTTATTGGGGACTCGTTTGCACTTTTTTAAAAAATTGGGACAATTGTTGCAATTAATTCTTTAGCTCTTTTATTTAAATATGAGGGTATATTTGTCATCCTACTGTTTTTTATTGAGAAATTAGATGAAAATGGATAAAAACGATGGTTTGGATATCGTATTGTAATTAAGGGAGAAAATGCCAAAAAAATAAAAGGTCAGGATATTTCTCACAATAATAGTGAAAAATATGGATATTATTTGCTAATTACCCTTTAAGTAATTTATTGTGACTCATTTGTGTTTTTTCAAAAATGTTGGACTATGTTTGCAATTAATTTTTTTCTTTTTCCTTTTGTTTTATTTAAAAGGAATGATATTTTCGTTATTTCACAATTTTTTAATTGAGAAAATGGATAAAAAGGACCTTTTGCGCAATGAAATGTGGAAATAATGGTGAAAGTGTCAAAAAATGAAAGGTATGAACGTCTTCCACAATAACAATGAAAGGTGGGGACGTTATGTGCTAATTACACTTTATTATATAAAATTCACAACGTGGAAAACATGGTTATGAGCATTGATGTACGCATATCATAACAATGCAAGGAACACTAAGAGTGAATAAAGGAAGTTGGGATAGATAGATGATGAATAGACTACAGTAACTTATGTGATCACGACACGGTGCTAGGAAGCACATTGAGATTTCTTTATTCACATGGACATGATTTCTAAGGTCCACAAACATCATAATCGGCAAATGATACATAACTTATGAACAACATAGACAATCTATCCCATCCCAAATAGTCACAAGTATATTTTTCTCCTATGTTTGGAATATCTCATAAATTATAAAAATTAAAAACCGAAATTAGAATAATATGAGAGAATATTATTACTCAATGAGCCCACAAATACTAAACTAGACTAAAACCAAGACAAAAAGGTCTCTCATGTATGCACCTCACATCCTTATCAAGAAAAAAGTCAACAAAAGGTCAGCTCTTGATGCCATCAGCCATGCTTTGCCTGTGGACCCCACTCAAAATTGTAATACCGTGCTCCTCAGGTGCACCTAAATAAATCCTTTTTCTTTTTTGCAAGTAGGCCCCACTGGCTAACTTTTGAGTGGCGAATCCATAGTTTACTATTGGTTGTTGTCTCGTTAGCCAATGACATTTGGATATGTAGAACGGAGGTTCAGGGACCGCTGCAGATGATTACCTCCTAAATTTTCAAATTGCCTGAGAAATTTATTGGTGTCCAAGGGTAATCTGGTAATTCAACCAACTTGAAAATTTAGGATAAGAAATAACACAGCCACGTCAGCAATCCGAGTGAATCAATTGAAATTTTTTAAAACCGTTGGATTAAGAGGAAGTAAACAATCCCTAGCCGTTGATTTAATCTCAAAAACACTCGATCCTCTTCCTCCTTTTCTGCTCGCTCGTTCCAGCTCTGATCTGTTAACCTTTTTAAATCCCTTCATTTCACTGAATTTTCTGCAACAAATTTTCATCAGCTCTACAGTTCCCTCCCCTGAAAATATTTTCCCTCTCAAAATTCTCTCTCTCTCTGCAATTCGAATTTTTCTGTTTTGAGATTTTTTAGTTTTTAGATATGGCGGCTGAAGAACACCAGAATAATAATCCACTCCCTCCAAATCATGCTCAGCCGCCGGCGCCGGCTGTAGCTACGGGGCCACCTCCTGCCGCTTTGCCTCAGTACCCGGAGGTACAGCGCTGTTCTTTTTAATTCTGTTCAACGTTGGTTCATTAATTTTTGCTTGCTTTAATTTTGAAGATTTTAGTGAATTTAACTAAGTGATTGTTGGATTTTTTTACTTTTCGTTGTGGATTTATTTTTGGGTTTGAAACCTACATTTTCACCTGAAATTCGTTAATTTCTACAGTTTCGTGTATTTTTCTCGTCGCTGTTTGAAATTGTGCTGAAATTCGACGTATAAAATTCAGCATAATTAATCTTTAAAATTTGTGCTGAAATTGAGACACTTGTGCACAGTTGATTATGAATGCAATTGATGCGTTGAATGATAAGAATGGGTCAAACAAATCAGCAATTTCAAAGCACATCGAGGCCACCTATGGAAACCTCCCGCCGGCCCATTCAACCCTACTTTCTCACCACCTGAACAAGATGAAGGCCACCGGGCAGCTACTTTTCGTCAAGAACAATTACCTTAAGCCGGGCCCAGATGCTCCGCCGCGCCGTGGCCGTGGTCGTCCACCGAAGCCCAAGACACCTCTTCCACCCGGCACCGTTCTACCTCCTCCTCGTCCCCGCGGCCGCCCACCCAAATCGCGGGATCCCAATGATCCGCCGCCTCCTCCAAAGCCGAAATCTGCTCCAAGCCCTGCTGCTTCTGGCAGGAAACGTGGGCGGCCGCCGAAGGCTACAAAAACCGGGGTACCGCCACCTTCTGCCGCTGTTGGAGCAACAAGTGGGGTGCCAAGAGGCCGGGGAAGACCACCGAAAGTGAAGCAAGCTGTGGCTGCTCCGGTAGGGGCTTGATTGCAATAGAACAAGTAGTTCAGGGGCTTCACTGCCAATTGTTGTTTCTATTTATAATTTTAATTTTTAGTCCTTGTAGTTTGGGTTAATTTTAATTTAGGCTGTGATTGAGATTGGATGACTTTGATAATGTTGTAAATTTATGGAGCGGCAATTGATGCAAAATGCTTGTTTTCTTTATTCTCTATAATCTTTTTGCATGTTTGGCTTAGCATTAAAAAATCACTTTCAACTTATAAGTTCTTAACAAAGTCTTAAAGGTGCATATAAGAGAATTGAAGTTAGTATTGTATCACTCTTAGCTTCTATTTGATTTTTATTCTTGGAAAAATGCATTCTTTTTCTAATTTTCAATTATATATTTATCAATAAAATAATATTATAAGCAAATTTTTTTTTTTAAATTTTTTAATCACGTATTTTTATCACATTATTTGAAAAAAATGTATTCTTTTTCTCACAATGTGCATCAAATTGCCTTCAGGGTTCGTTTTGGTAGAGTTTTTGAAAAGTTGAAAAATATTTTTGAACATGTTCGAATAATGTTTTACAAGAGGTTTAAATAATGTTGATTTTATTTCTTAAAAAACTATTTTATAAGAAATAGCATGGGTTTTTAATAATTAAAATGAAAAAGTTGGAAAATATGTTATTTTTGGCTTCTTTATGTGAAAGAAAAATGTATTATTTGAAGAAAGAATGGCTTCTAAACGGAGCCTTATTTTGCAAGTCGTTGAAATACATTGTTTTTAGCCCTTGTTTGGTTTTTATAAGAATCAATTTTTTTAGTAAATTTTGAATGAAATGGATTAGTTCTGTGAAATATTCAATTGAAAATAAGTTAGAGGAAAATGAGTTTTAAAAAATAAGCCAAATAGAGATTTAGCCTATTTCTTAGGTTGAGTTTTAAATTAGCTTGCCTAACATTTTAAGCTCCTATTTGAGCTACATTAAAATTTCATCTCATTTTCAATTACACATTTTTCAATAATATTTTTCATTACATCAACTTTTATTATTTTTCAACTACACAGTTTTCATTAATTTATTATTTTCAAAATAATGTTGTTCAAATACACCCAAAAATTTGTTGGATGTTTCTTTGATTAATTGATTTGCTTTTATTATAATATTGGGAAAGTGAGAATCAATGGTAGAATGTGTTTGGTTGGCATATTTCATTTAAAAAGAAAGTGCATTGGAAGATGGGAAAATTGTGTCTGTTTGTTTTCTTTAATTGAGGATGGCAGTTTTTTGCTGGCAAAAGATGCTGTAATAAAGAGAAATGAAAAAGCAACAAATTAAAGCCATGAAATTGTAGACTTTAAGACCATATATTTAACAGATTTATCTATTGTTTTTTTTTTTGGTAATCTATTGTTATTATTGGTATGGTTCACCCTAGTTGATTAGAAAGATAAAATTAATGAGAATAACATTTGAGAGAATTGTATTAAAGTGAATCAATATACGTTGTTTGTGCTATATCGTATTAGATAATCGTACAAGGATTCATTTGACACAGTATTTGTGAGGAGAGTTTTTATTAGTAGTGCTTTGAACAAAGAACTGTTATCAATCCGATCAACAACTTGGAGTTATAATTGAATGGAGTTATAACCGAATTCAAGAAAAATTTCTATAGCCTCGATTTAAGTTTGGGTATAATCATTACTGTTCTTCAAAAATAATTGTTATAAAAAGCTTATACTTTGTTTGGTTGTCAACTAAAAAGGATTGTGAATAGTAGATTAATTGCTTGGCAATTATAATTTAAAAAGAATTTTTGATTTACTAAATGTATGACTAAAGCTCCGTTTGGTGCACATTTTGAAGGTAATAATATATTTTTTTACTGTTGATGTGATGGAGACTATGTAGTTGAAAAAGAAGGAAAAGTTATTGATGTGATGAAAAATATTATTTTATTGAAGAATGTGTGGTTGAAAATGAGTAGAAGAATGAAAATAAAAAAAATAATGTAGACAAAACATAACCTAAGTATAATTTCATTTTTATATAAAATCTACAAAAGTTAAATATTTTAATTAAATTGTCGTGGATTTTTTTAAATCATAAATCATGTTAAATTATTTGTTTAAGATGTTAAAAAAATAAATTAAAAAAAATCTCATATAAACCACTCAAAAAATAATCTTTACTTTCAATTTATAAGCACAATTAATACAAATTTCAGCTTGCCTTATTTAGAGCTTTCTAGAAAACTCCAAAATGGTGCATACCCCATATTTGATAAGGATCAAAATCAGATTTTTAATAAATTTTGATAAAATATGTGGTTGAAAAGTTGTAAATTTCATGAAATATGTGATTAAAATTAATTATTGATTTTGATTTAAATTAAAATCCCCATCAAACATGGACTAGATTTTTGTCAAGCACTTCTTCCGCAAAAAAAAAATAAAAAATAAAAAAATACAATAATTTCTACTAATATGTAATTTCTTACCATAAGTGAATTAAATATTTTATACTTAAAATAAAATTTTAATTTAAAATGATTTTTACTTATAAGTATTGTTTTACTTATAAGTTAATTTACTCGTAAGTACACTAATTTACTAATAAATAATTTGCTTATTCATTATTTTAATACAACTGACATTTATTTCTATTTACACGAAAAAATTCTCTGGTCTAAATTAACCTGATTGAATGAGTTAATTTAGTTTTACTACCAAACACCCTTAGGATATAAAATGGATTGGTTGAATTCACAATACGAAAAGTTTTATGATCACTAAAATTATGTTCAGCCGATTGAAGTGAATAAAAACAAAATTTAATATTTTTAAATTACAATTGTTTTACCGTTCTCGCCTAGTAGTTATCGTTTTGCGTTGATCCCAATTCGCCACTACATTGCTAGAATAATGTTATTTGCAGTCGCTCACTACAACAATCGCCCTATGTGGCACACACATGTCAAGTGTGTATTTGATACATTAAATGTAGTAAAAAACTACTCCATTAATGTATCAAATAATTATATGCCATGTGTGTGTCATATAGGACGACTGCTACAGTGAGCGACTGCAAGTAACATTACTCAATTGCTAAGATGATTCATTACTCTATTAAATTGCTAGGATAAAAATTTACTAAATTCTTCTTCTCATAAAGATAGAATTATTTTTATTTTCACGCAAAATAAGCAAATTGAGCCAATATAGTTTTACTTACGTGTTTTCTAATATATCCCTACATTGATATCAGATAACTCATTATTAAAACTAGATGGCCATAAAATATTAAATTATTTTTGGATCTAATCATTTTATAATGCAAGGTTCAATGTAATTAACATTGTAAAGTTGGCTAACATAACAGTAACAAAAAATTGTCAAAGATGCAACCATAAAAAATTCAATTTTTTAATCAAAAATCAAATTGATAATGCCAACAAGTTGTTGGGCATTGCATTTTTTCGTGTTATAATTATTACGGAGAATCGCAGGCATGGTACTGAATCTTTCATTTTGTTTCAAATTTGATCCAATCATTTCATTTGTACCACACACGGTACCAAACCTTTCGAAAATTGACAACTAGAGTAAAAAATAGAAAGATTGATAATTTTGACCAACTAAAACAAAGACATTTTCGTGAGATTACATTTCCCTATTTAAAAAATTAAAAATCAACAAAAAATATCTTCATCTTTCCAACACCCCCAACCAACCAAAACAGCGGCTCGCCATCACCACCCACTCATCAACATCATTGTAGCCTTTGTGACGCAACTTCTTCCAAAGGAATCTCGAGATTCTCTACAATTTCTGCCCAATTCCACCGTCATGACCACCATTAATGGTTATTGCCTGCCGACCAAGAATTAAAGCATATTAAAATAAAAAATCAATTATATTCTCAACAAAGAAATATGACTATAATTTGGAACAGATGAATAAATAAAATAAACATATCTTTATGGGATGAGTGTAATATAAAAAAATGTTTAAATTTGAGAGGAAAAGAGTTGAATTTGAATTTTATGTTATCTAATTTCCTACTTCGGCTATGGTATTAGTGTCACGTTGACATAAATCATAAATGTTGCAACTCTATTTAAAATAGTTATTACATAACAAAATAATAGCACTTCAATGTTTATTTGTTTTATTTCACGTATCATGGAACAAGTTTTGCAACGGGAAAGAGTAAATTTCAGAAGATGGTAGTTCATGATAGTGGGCAAATGCATCAGAGGCAACAATTTTAATAGAAGCTGAACTATCTCATTTAAAATTTTAAGATTCTTACATAAGATAGTTTTACATGGTATACAAGCAAGCAAAGACCTTGAGAGTTAAAGTCTCTTCACTACTCATTTATAAAAAATTGTGCATATGTCAAGCCTTTGATGGCGAAGGGAATCCAATCAACACGTGAGTGATCTATTTTTTTTTTTTGGAGTGGGGGGTGAGGGGAGGTACCAATTCTTGAATATTTGAACTCAGTTGTCGAAACAACAATCCCCAACCATCCGGCACAAGGAGGATTGGCATGTGAACGATTGATGCATCCTTGGTGAAGCAACGCGTTATTGAAGTGAGGCGCCTGGACCCTCTTTTTAATATCCTCGATACTTAAAGAACTAGGCATTATTGACCATAAAATACTTGGTATTTGGAGAGATTTTGAAGATGGATAAACTTCAATGAATTTTCACGATTAGATGGATTTGCAACCATAGGTGAAAAATAGTCGAAAAGTATATACGTAGGTTCAAATAAGCGTAGAAGATATCAAGTCTTAAGAGGTAGCAAACAATATCTTAAAGGTGTTGAAAGGTTCCGTTATACATAATGCACATAAAATCATGGAAAACAAGATTTGAAGTATTCCTCCTCACATTTGGCTTTGTATAGGATTTTAGCAGATGTGAAACTTGATATTATTTCCGTCTTTCCCATTTGCTGATACACCTCTGCCCCTTGGTTCTCATCAACGGGGGAATGAAGTGTCTTCACGACAAT